TTCTTTCTTTCTTTCTTTCTTTCTTTCTTTCTTTCTTTCTTTCTTTCCTTCTTTCTTCTCTCTCTCTCTCCTCCCCCTCTTCCTTCTGCGGTGGCAGAAATTGGAACTTACGGCCTCATGTTTGCAAGGTAAGCACTCTGAGAGCTGGGGCTATCCCCAGCCCCAACTCTCTATCTTAATTCCATATTTAAGTGTATGCGTGTACCTGACTGTGTAAACAATCAGGAAATACTATTGCTTAGTCCTCTACTCTTTCATATAATGACAAGTGGTTCATTATCTTTCTGCAAGAATGTATGTTTGTGTGTATAGTCTCTATTTTAATAGCACCCTAATATTTTCATTTCATACTTTTGGGACATTGTTTGATTTGGAACACATGAGGCTAAACTGTCTAACAAGTAGTTGAAGGTCTGCTTTGTAAGACATGTAGCCTACATATCCTCCTTATGGGCACTCAGGCTGTTCTCCGTCTATGACTTCTATCAAAAAGGCTACAAAGCCTGTCATTGCACATGTGTTTGTTGGGTAGCAGACATTTCCAGAACAGAGCTCCCTGAACAAAACATACGAACATTTTAAAATTTGATATTATTGAATTTATGGCATCACTTTAGAGTATGACTGCCTGTGATCCCAGGGAGCGGGAGTCATTACTTCAGTTTGCCTTCTGCAATTGTGTATTTTTGCTTTGGTGGGTAGACTGTGCTTTAGAAGAAAAGAAATTGGCTGGATGGCTGATAAAATCTAATGATATTCAAATGATGAATTGTTGGACTTGTCAAGAAAATTTAAAGTCAAAAACCTGTAGAAATTGAGCTTGTACATAAAAGAATATATGACAGCTTTGAGTGCTAGGGAGGTAGACATTTACATATCAGTGTTACAGTGAATGTTCTTCCAAAGGGGAAATTAAAATGAATAAAGGATCCACTGTCATTGAAGCCTAGACCACACAGAACCAACAAATTAGCAAGTAGTCTTCTTTGTTGTCGTAAATAGGAAGACTGTGTCTTGGAAACAAAGCAAAGGCTCACTACACAGCCTGTTGTGTGATGCCGTCTAAATGAAGAAACACAGTAGACCTCCTTAATTAGCTACGGAGGTGAGCTGGCAATGATGCTAACACGTCCATGCGGCGTCAGCCACAACCACCGGCAGAGAACAAGAGGGTGGCAACATTGTCCCGGGTAACCGCTTTTAGGACTAAGCGGCCCAGGGCTTCTGAAAGGCTGCAGAGCTGCCCTGTAATAACAGACACCTCTAGCTACACTTGAGTAGACCGTTGAGACTGTTTTCTTACATTCAGGTCGCACAACTTATACCATATGCCATCAAGAAATATCCCGACACTCTGTGGTCATTGACCATCTCACCACAACAACAAGCGCCTCACTTATATTTTTTGGGAGAAGGTTAATTTGACTTTCGATTTAAAAAAAAAAATCAAGTTTCCACAAGCCGTGAGAAGTTCCCTGAATCCTGACATATTATTATCCTAGCTGAAGTTAGAGAAAAGCAAAAGGTATGAAAAACAACATTTTTTGTTGTTGTTGCTTTCAACTAGAAATCAAGAGAACACTTCACGAAGGAGTGCAGGAAAGCAAACTTTACTCCTAATTTCATTACCTGGGGAGAATCACTCTAACATCTGAACCTTTCCTTCCTCCCTCTATTTTTTTTTTTTTTTTTTTTTTTTTTTTGAGACAGAGCATCACACAGCTTAGCTGAGGATGACCTTGACCTCCTGCATCCACCTCTGCCATTCTGGGATTATGGGCATTTTCCACCATGCCCTGTTTGTCCAATGGAACTTAAGGCTTCATGCATGGCAGGCAGTCACTCTACCGACTCGGCCACCTCTCCAGCCCCTCCCCTGACTCTGTGTACTTGCGGTTTGCATATGCACCAGGCTGTGTAAGTGACCAAAAATACCTCCTCTTACTTCATTCCCTGCTTTTGTTCTTGGACTCATATCTTTTTCTCCATCACTCACTGGTACAGTATTCTTCAGAGATCTGACGCCCTTTGCGTACTTTACACTGAGGCAGTCCAGTGAAACCCATTAGAGGAACTGGCCTGGGTGCCACTGTGCCCACACTGGGTTGAAGTGTTCTCCAAAGTGTAAGTCCACCCTAAACTGCAGAAGATCAGCTTGTTTGGAAAGAGGGTCTCAGGAGAGGCAGCCAGTTAACATGAGGCCACACTGGGTTTGGGTGGGCCCTCAGACTAGGGTAACAGGTCTGTAAGCCAGAGACTGCAATGATTTGACTACCACTAGGGAGAGGTCAGAGAGCCTCCAGCTATGGAGTCCTCGGAAAGACCATGAACCAGTGACAGTCTGGCTTCAATTTCAACCTTCCAGGTAGAGGCCTAATAAATTGCCGTTGAGTTTGTGTGTGCGGTGCATATGTATGCTTGTGTGTACATCTGTGCGTTTGTAGGTCGGAGGCTGACATTCGGAGTCCTTATCCATTTTTACCTTAATTTTACTGCAACGATGTCTCTCACAGAACTTGGAACTTATAAATTCATCAGGCGGCCTGGCTAGCGGGCCCCAGGGGAACCCGTCTCCTCTTCCTCAAGTACTGGTATTCCAGGAGCACAGCTGTTGCGTCTACCTTTTCACATGGGTGCTGGGAGCTGAACTCAGCAAATCATGCTCACACGGCTAGAACTTGACTGACTGAGCCATCTCCCTAGCTCCCATGTCTGCTGTTCAAAGAAAGGAGTATGTGGTATTTGTTGTCACAGCCAAAGGGAAGTCCCGAGACACCTCTGCTAAACCACACAGGTAGCATGGGTAAGTCAGGGTGTGAGACCCTGGAACAAATACTTGGAAGCAGAATCCGTTTAACCAGGGCCACACCAAGAGTTGACCACTTCCTGGAAATACGTGGCCCAGTTTTATACTTCCTGTAAGACAAATCCTAACCCCTTCTTCCTCATTCCTCAGGCATGGTCCTCACCACCACTACAAGCATTTGGCAGAGTGGTTTTTTATTTTACAAAACAAGGCAAATGTTTTCTCTGCAAATCTCAACCAAATAAATCAAAGTTCTCAGAAATTCTTTAATTAGAACTCTATTAAGTGCTGGCTATTAAACTTCGCACTTGATTGTCTTCTCATCTAACTGCCACAGCCACCAGGAACTCAGGTTATTTTCCATTCTTAGTGACAAGCAAAGAGTGCAGAATTTCAACAGTCTCTTAGCTGGTGCTTGCGCAATAAGCATTTACCAATGGATTATGCCAGAACGAACGCCGAGCTGGGGACCAGCCAATCCTATGGTAGCACTGTGAATTATGTGAACTGGCTACTCTTATTTCAAAGAACGCTCCGGAATTTTTGGCACCTCTCACTCTTACAAATGCCTGAATTAGAAGTGGGACAAGTAGGCACTTTAGGAGTTTGCCACTGTGGCAGTGCATGGAGCAATAAGCAAGCGGGGAAAACACAATATGAAGTCTTATTGGAGAGAGAGAGAGACAGAGAGAGAGAGAGACAGAGAGAAGAGAGGGGTGGGGGAGGTGTGCATGTGTGAAAGTCAGAGGACAAGTTATTGGAGTCAGTTATCTTTCTGCTCTGTGGGTGCTGGGGATAGAACTCAGGTCTTCAGGCTTGTCAGCAAACACCTTTACCCACTGGTCCATCTTGCAGGCTCATTATGCAGACGTGAATGGTTCAGACACACTGAGTCCCAGGCCACTATCCACATTTCATACTTGGCGATGTATTATTCCTTCCTGCCTGTTATTTACCAGACTATTCTGGAAGTGCTATGTAATGAGTTCTGTGCTGGAAGGTCCTGGGAACACTTGGAGGGACCAGGGGGTAAGAGACACACTATATACAACTATAAAAATTTCAAATAATAAAATCATTATTAAAATATATACAAATGGTAAAGATTTGTTTTACTATGATAAAAGGAAAACGTTAATTTAAAATTAAGATCAAAGTTCTATACTGTAGCCTTCATAATATTAAGCCAAAACCAAGCTACCAATCATACAAGTTTTCCTCTCTTCAACAAGAAAGCTTTGCTGTCCCCTGCTCACCCAAAGCGATGTCAATTACCAGAGTTTCTTAAAAGACCCTGTGCAGTGGTTTTTAGGGATACATAGGCATTGTAGACAATGTTTGTGTAGCCCTGGCCCTTTAAGTGATTATATACAGTAGGTATGCAAATGTTTGATGAATAACTGCTAGAGCTGACACAGACAAAACATGCTTTTAAGTTAAGAATCTAAGATAAATGTCTTCACTTTTGACACAATAAATGGGTTCCCCCTGACTCAGCCTGTGGTAAGAGTTACCTTCTGCATTGACCACCATTGTTCCAATCACCCCTTTGTGGCCCTGGATTCTCTTGAGGGTTTCTTCCACCTCTGTCTGCAAGAGATTAGAGCCACCATTAACCAGAAGGGTCTCCGTGGTGACATCCCCTCTACAGAGAATGTCTAAGAAGATACCTTAGTCCCCTATTTCTTTAACTGACAGGTGGAGACTATCTGCTTGGCTGTTTGAAAGGTATGCTTGAAACTATTAGATCGCTTGTGGGGACTCTGTATGAAGCCCCCACTTGCATATAACCTAGATTGATTGCCAGGGTTCAGCCCCAAAGAAGACAGAGAATCTCACAAGCTTACTTGTCTTTATTTGCAAGAAAGGTAGTGTTTGATTGTTTGTTTTTATTTCGCCCCGAAAGCTTCCATGGGTCGGTCATCTTTCATAGATCCTGTTTCTATACTTACAAAAACTTCTTTTGTGTGCCATAGACTTTAAATATTTATTGATCAGCACCCTGTCCTCCAATGGTCCAAAAGCTGCCCTCCTTGAGACCCCCTTAGTTACATCTGTTACCTCCATTGGGGGTTCACTCTGGTGGCTAAACTTATAAAGGGCATTCTAGGCAAGCATTATATTGCAGGATGCCAGAGTCTCCTGGTTCCAGGAACTTGTGACCAGGTTTAATCTGAATGTTCAGCTGAGAACGTCTGTGCGTGGAACTCCACATCTGGGTTTTATGTTCACCTTTGCAAGATGAAGGTGAATAAATTCACTGTACAACTTGGGCTTTTTTTTTTTTTTTTGGTAACAGCACATTGTGGAACCTTATATTTCTTTTAAAAACATTTTATTATTGTGTGGGGGTGTGTGTTGTGTCTGCATGTATGTCTGTGCCCCTGTGCATGACCTGTGCCAGTGGAAGCCAGACGGGGGTGTCAGATAACCTAGACCTAGAGTTACTGACAGGAACAGCAATTCATGCTGGGAATTGAACCTGGGTCCTCTGCAAGAGTACCCAGTACTCTTAACTACTGAGTGATTTCTCTAGCCTCATATAGAATTTTTTGAGTTTTCTTTTTTTGACAGTGTTTCATACCGTGTAGCTCAGCCTGGTCTTGAATTTGGAGCAATCTTCCTGCCTCAGCCTTCTGAGTGCTTGGCTTACAGGCAGACACTACCATGCCCCAGTTGGCCTGGCAGTCTTTGGATGAGATTTTATTCCAGTATTTTCTTTCCCAACAGCTCACAAGTGAATGCTGTGTTACGTCAGGCAGAGACAGGCTTTTCTTTTGCACCCAGTGTGGATGTGAGCAGGTACTTACATTGTCTTTGCCATCACCAGGGCAGGTCTTTTCTGAGCAAGCACCATGCTAGATTCATGGCTTTTCCCACTATGAACACCATTACCATTTAATTAGCATGTTCTTTAAACTACTCCACAACCCACAGCTTAAAAAAAAACTGCATCTGCAGAGGAGGCTGCCATTTCTACCACAGGTTAAACCTGGCTCCCCATCACAAACCAAAAGGACTGTAAAAACTAAGGAATAAGGGACATTTTTACGTTTCACTGCCATGAAATCTCTGAGCCTGAGGTGTTCTCTGAAGGTGAAAATCAGACATCGCCAGTGACAGTTATGTCAAGAACCTGATAGTGCCAGGGATTTGTTTTGTCACATACACAGCCTGGTACAAAAAAATAGAAAAAGTAAAAGGAGACATTTTTCATGAGGTGGATTACTGAAACTTGGCATTTCTTGGTCTCCTAACGCTTGGCACAGAATATCCACAAACTACCACAGTTCTGACCAACTTAGGAGAATGTCTACAACTCCTCAGAACCACAGTCCTCCTCCTTTCTCTGCTCCTCCATATCTTTCCCTCTCCGCCAAGATGCCGCTCTTCTGACTTCCCTGAGGCCCTTATTGCAACCTCCTGAGTCCCTAGGCCCACCTCCTTTCCTTCCCTTCTCTTCTTCCCTTCCCTTTTCCTTGACCTTTCCTTCCCATCTTTCCTTCCCTTTCCTTCCCTTCCCTTCTTTTTCCCCTCCCCTTCCCTCCTCTCCCTTCCCCTCCTCTCCGTTTTTTCTTTTTCTCCATCCCCTTTCCCCTTACTTCCTCATCTCCCCTCCTCTCTCCTTCCCTCCGCCTTTTTCCTCTTCTCTTCTCCCATTTCACTTCTTTCTCTTCCATTCTCCTCCTCCCTTCTCTATTCCCTTGTCTTTCTTTTTCCCTTTACTTTTTTTCTCTTCTCTTCTCTTCTCTTCTCTTCTCTTCTCTTCTCTTCTCTTCTCTTCTCTTCCCTTCCTTTTCTGAGGAGGTTCTTTCTTCTTTCTGCCCTTCCCCCCCTCAATCCCTCAGTCCCTCTGTCTCTCCCTCCCTCTCCTTCCCTTCCTCTCTTCATTCCTTGCCCCTCCCTCCTGATTTTCCTTTCTTTTCTCTTTGTCTCTTGACCTCCCATCCCTTCCCATTCTCTCGATCTCCCGGGTCCCAGTCTTTCTCAGCCTGGTATCTTTCTCCTCCACCTCCATTGCTCTTTGTAAACTTTCCCGGCTCCCGGATTCTTCTCAGCACCTCCCCTTTCTCAATAGTGCCCCCTCCAGCTTCATCCAGTGAACAGTGAGACCCTCCCAGGACAGCTGTAGCCATGGAGCCTCCCCCTCTGCTCTCCCAGATATGGACCCACATTTACCATAGCGCCTCTGGGACAGCTCCACTCTCAAGCCCTCTGAGCGCCAGTTTCTGTGGCTGTCAACAACGCTTCCCGCGTTGCTAAGAAACCAAGCAGGAAGTGGCTTCCAGAAAGCTGTAGGCTGCGCCTGCGCAATGGTTAGGTTGTTTCTGAAGCCGGTTTTTCCGCCCTGCCAGTGTCAGGTTGTTTCTCAGCCCAGTAAAAAGGTCCTAGAAGACAGAGGCCAGGGCCTTCCTTCCCGATGTAGCCCAAGGCGATGGGGTCGTGGTGGGATGCGGTCTCGTGTGGGTCCGATTTCCCTCCTTTTCTATGTGTTTTTGGGGATGTGGCGATGACTTGTTCCTGGAGTCGGTGGCCCCTCTACCGCCCCCACGTGAGCTGTATGGTACCCACGCAGGTACGATAATAGACTATGGAAACGCTAGCACCCAGGGAGGGAGCTCTGTCAGAAAATCAACTGATTTCACTTGTCACTGAGTATTTCGTACCTGAGCTGGGATGATGTAGAAAGGGTTACAGGATGGATGGTCCTAGTGTCATTTCTGTTGCTGTGCTGAAACATCCCGACAGAGGGCAACTTAGGGGAGAAAGGGTTCAGTTTAGCTTACAATTTCAGGTTGCAGTCACATTGTGCAGAAGTCAAGGCAGGAGCTGGAAGCGTCTCCTTACACCGCACTCAGCCGGGTCGGTGGGGGAAAGAGAAAGAAAGAAGGCCTATGTTTGGCTCATTCTTCTCTAGTCCTTGTACAACCCAGTACTAGCTCAGGGAATGGTGCCTCCTACTTTGGGTCTGGGTCTTCCCACATTAATTAACATAACCAAGATAATTTCCATAGACATTTCCACGAAGCAACCTGATCTAGACGATCCCACACTGAGACTGTCTTCCCCAGTGGTTTTACATTGTGTCCTAATTAACAATCACATAGTAGAAGAACAAAGCTGGTGTGTGTGTGTGTGTGTGTGTGTGTGTGTGTGTACCTAGCCTCAGCTGATTGAATCTCATAAAGTCTTAACTCTTTGCCCCCCCCCCCTTTGTGTTTCTGACCAAGGAGATTTCCACTTGAATCTGCACACACCCATTTGTTTTTCTTACGAAACTCTGGCTATGCTCTGTATCTCTTATGTCAATCAACTTTAACGAAGGAAGGGCCTGCATCTGCATAGGGTGTGAGCTCCCTCATTTCTGGAGTCAGGGCGTCAAACTCACTCAGCAGCTGACAGCTGCTGAGAGGCAAGCGGGACACCAGCACAAAAGGCCCTGGCGGGAGAACCCAGCAGCTCGGAAAGAGATGGGAAGTGGCCAAACTGACTTCCAACCAGCAGTCAAGTTGGACTCTGTGCATGGGAAATCAATGAGGAGAATATGAGGCGTTCTCTCCTCATTGACTTTTCACTCTAATTATTCCTCGGAGGTAGCTTGCTTTAATTTTTATGCCTTTCCTTTGGTGTGGGAGTATGATGACTATCCAGGGTTGTGCTGTGTAAAATGCCTTGAAGGGATCTGACATGTTCTCTACCCCACCGTAGGCATTAGGACTTCTTTCCACTGCCTCGCGTCTCTGCTCCTTTCTTTAAATTCACAGTAAATGTTAAATAACCTTCAACTCCAGGGGAAGTGTTAGTGACTAAGACGTGCAAGCACTCAGCAAAAAACAAAACTGCAGGCATGTTTTATTCTTTGTTGTGCTTAACTGTCAAAACAAGAAGCTTTTCTTCTGAGCATGAGGGGTCTCATTTCTTTGACTGTCTCACATTTCTGGTTAGCCCGATGGGATAAAGGTAACATCATCACCTTGCATTTTCCCCCTTGGAATTCTTTTTACCATACTATGTAGCTTCGGTACTCTGCAACCCACTGAGTTGGCCTGCATTATCTATATCTTGTGTTCATTTTCCTCATGAGACTTTGCACCATTTTTCAACAATTTATAGTGCTGTACGTTAGCGTATCTTAAGCTTTTTTTTCTAGTTACAACGGTTTTTTCCCTGACAAATTTATTATTGAATGTGAATGGGTGCTTGTCTACATGTATGTTCTTGCACTGTATGTGTTCGTAGAGACCACAGAGGCCAGAAGATATCGGATCTCCTGGAACTTGCGTTACAAACAGTTGTTAACCGTCATGTGGGTGCTGGCAATTGAACCCAGGCCTTCTGCAAGCGCAACCAGTGGGCTTAACCTCTGAGTCATCTCTCCAGCCTTTCTTGACAACTTTTATGTAATGGCCATGTGCATATAAAAATAGGTATAGAAAGCAAACATTTCCTGATACTGAATTACAAAGGAATTTACTTGAACACAATTATTTGTGTTCTACATATATTACCATTCATTAGAGGAAAACAATTTGCATGTTAATGAATAGGATGTGATTGTCTGTCTAACACAACCCAATCCAAAGATAAACTAATCTGACACTTACATGCTGAGGAATTGTGGTAGGAAACCATTACAAGTCTTTGTTTTCTGTAATTGCATGTTAGTTTCTATAAGAATGGGAAACTTCCCATAAAAAACAACACCACACTTTTTAGTGTCCGTCTTAAATTTGGGTGAGGGCATTTCAGACACCATTTGATGGCTTTGCATGTGTGAGTGCATGCACAATGGTGAGTATACTTGGTGTATGTTCAGAACCAAGGTTTCTGTGTGTGTGAGTTTCCAAAATGCAGCTCCATCGAGAAGGCAAGATACCTCATATCCATTGTTTGTTCGATTTTTGAATTCATTTGTGGTCCTTGCATGTTTAAAAACCTTTAATGTTGGTTGCCAAATTTTTATGAGATTTTTACTTTGGTATCTAGTTCTGAATTCCTTTCCCTAGTAGCCAGTGTCACAAAGAGGTTTCATTATTTCCCTAAGAATATTAAGCTAACAGGGTAGCATTGCTGTGGCGTGATATGTCCTCCACAGTTCATATGTTAGAAGTTGATCTAGGTCATTCAAATTTTGCTCTCATATGTAGATTAATGTAGCTGAAAAGATGCATCTATTATCGTGAAACTGAGCTATTGCTATGATGAAATGCCCTGACAAGAGCAACTTATGGGAGAAAGGCTGTATTTTGGATCACAGTTCCAGGATCTGTTTTTCACCGGGGAGAAAGGCACAGTGGCACAAGCCTGAAGGGACTGGTCATATCACATCTACAATCTGCATGGGAGAACGAGAGCGATGGCTGCATGAATGCAAGCTAGTGCTCAGCTTGCCTGCTTCCTCCACTCCAGAACCTCCTGCCTAGGGAATGATGCCTCCCACAGGGGGTTCATCTTCCCACCTCAATTAATATATCCAGTATAGCCCCCGTTATACATAATCTACACCAGATGGTCTCTCCCTTCCCAGGTGATTCCAGCTGGTGTCAAGTTTATATGAAAACTAACCACCACAGTATGGAAGCCATGCTGTCCCCCCTTATGCTTCTCTTTCCTACCTGCATGCCTGCTTGCCCTTCTGTGTTGTACTGTGACACAGCCAGGAAGTTCATGTTAGGTTCTGATTCCTTGACCTTGGACTTTCTAATATCCAGAACTGCAGGTGATAACTTAGGTTTTTGTAACGTATCCAGCCCATTGATTTTTGCTATAATGGTACAAAGCAGACTCAGATAGCCATTTACTAGAAGAGTCCACTTAATCCGCTGTTGCCTCTGTTAAACACAAAATGTTCATGCGGGTGTGTTTGTCTTTGGGAGCCGTCTGCTATGTTCTAGTTTCTGGGTATCTTTGCCCTAATTGGATGCAGTCTTATAATGCCTTGGTATTTACTAGCACATTCTCCTTTGTTCTTTTCTTTCTAATTGTGCGGCTTTTCTTTCCACATTTTGTATAGTATTTAAGTAGGATTATTCATTTCCACAAAAATACGTTTGGGAATTGTGACTGGAAATTCAATCTGTAGACCTGTTAGTGGCATTGGAATGTGTACAACAAGTGCTCTCCCTCATGAGCATTTTGTCTCACCGTCTTTAGAGTAAATAATAATAATAATAATAATAATTCTTTCAATAGTTTCAATTCAATTCAATACAGGTTTTTGCATGAATGAATTACACATTTTCTAAAATGTGAAAATTTAAAGTTAAACGTGTATTATTTTTCTGTTACTGTAACAAACAAGCTTGGAAAAGTCTAGGGCTGGAGAGGTGGCATAGCAGTTAAGAGCACTTGCTGCTTTTGCAGAGGACAGGCACAGGGTTTTCATCCCCCACGTGATAGTGCTCCTGTATCTCCAGCTCCAGGTAATCCGATGCCCTCTTTTAGTCTCTTACAGAAATGCTTGCACGAGAGTGTGCATACTTACATACAAGCAAACACTCATATTCATAAAATAAAAATAAATAAAATCTTAGAAATCAGCTTGGCCAAGTCAACCTAAAGGAAGAAAGGTTCATTTCCTGGGCAGAAAACATCCTCCAGCAAACATACAAAAATGAGCCTCAGATGCCGTGTGTTCTCTGACCACAGTGGATTCAACCCAAAAGCCAGTGACAATGACAGAAAAGAATTGAAAATTTGTGTAAACAATGGAAAATTGCCCAATACATCGCTGAATAATCCATTACAAAAAATATGGAAGATAAATTACAAACCGAAACAAAATAGAACACAATTTTTTTTCTTTTTTTTTTTTTTGTGAACACAAGCAATACAATTAACAGCTCTAGAGACCTCCTTAGAAAGCATGAAAATCATAATCTGGACACTCAAAAACGTAGAGAAAAAAAAAGACAAAATAATTCTAATTATTTTAAAACTCCATTTTATGGTTTACATTTGGGGCTAAAACCCAGCAAACAGGCTTGGGCTTTGAGTGGTCGGTCTGGGATGACAGGCACTGCTTTGAGAGCTGTGGGACCTTTAAGGGGGTGGGGCCTGGAGGCAGATGTAGATGAATAGGGGCATCTCAGTAAAGTACCCATACCTGACTTTACACTGCTCAGTCTGTTCTCCGATCTGCCCTTGGGTGGATAAGGCTAGCAATCCACTCCTAACCACCACAGATGGAGTCTCTCCGCCATGCCTTCCTCACCACGTTGGACTGAAACCTTTTGAAACCAT